TTCTATGTATATTCTGGAGTTGATTTATTCCGTGTATATTTGGCACATACTAACACCTTTGTAATTGAAGCATGACCAGATTCCTATCTAGCCTCCTCCATTTTGTACAGTTAGTCTAATTTACCTGGCGTAATACTTTTTGTGAGCCATTCTTTTGACTGTTATGTTAGATTTGCGATTGATAAGCTCAAATTTACTCTCATCACTCCACATAATGTTTTTCCATTGTTCTATTGTCTAATACCTTCTTTTAGGACACCATTTTTAGGACACTCCTTTGTTTATCATATTGTTGCAGGAGCGGTTTCTTTAAAGCATAGTAGACTCCAACCTTGTATTTGATAAGTATTCGGCGGACTGTACTTTAAGAAATAGATGTATTTTGCGTTGCATTGAATTCTGTGGTCAATTCTTTGTAACTAACTCTTAGATTAGCTCTGACAGCTCTAAAAAGGACACTATTGTCCTTTCTAGTGGTTGACTATTTTTTTGTGTTAGTTGGTATAGAATGAAAAAAAATAAGGTACTCTATAATAGAGTTTCACTTCCTCTATTAAACTATATATCAAACATAGTGGTAGCACTTTTATTTTATTTTTATTTTAAGTATTTTCTTACATATATGTAAAAAAAAAATCGTGTCTAAATTTATGAAAGTATATAATATATATATATATATATATATATATATATATATATATATATATATATATATATATATATATATATATATATATATATATATATATATATATATATATATATATATATATATATATATATACATATATATGTGTGTGTGTGTATATGTAATTTTGTACACTACCAGGTGTAGTAATTGAAAACCGGGGGTTTTTTTTATCAAAGAAAACACTTTTTTTTTAATGAAAGATTATAGATGGTTTATTCAAAGTATTTTCCATCGTTAGTTACACCGTAACTAACGATGGAAAATATAACGTATTATATTAGATAACGTATATTTTTCCCCATCTTTCAGGCAACTTACAAATCCCATCTCGATAAAATTGTTAGTTTTTTGAAGCGAACCATTCATCAACCCATTTTTACTTCTTTAGCTTCATTGAAGTGCTGGTCTGCAAGCTCCAATGACATTGATGAAAACAAATGGTAATCTGATGGAGCCAAGTCTGGTGAATATGGCGGGTGTGGTAATTTTTCCTATTCAAGTATATTTAATGTATTTTTCACATCTTTTGATTTGTGGAGCATTGGTAAAATCCATGATTTTTTGCGTTTTAGATTTTCAAAAAATATCCATTTTTCATCTCCAGTAATGATTCGATGCAAAAAAAGACCTTTCTTTCTTGTTTTTGAACAAGCATTTCGCAAATTGTTTTTGGTCTTTCTTGCCTGTTATTCATTCAATTCATGTGGAACTCATTTTCCCAGCTTTTGGATCTTTCCCATTGCTTTCAAACGATTGGAAATTGTTTTTTGACTTCATCCAATAAATCTTGCAATTTGCTGTCTTCAAACTTTTTTTCCTTGACCTTGACGTTGTTTGTCTTTCACATCAAAATTACTACTTTTAAATTGTTTAACCAGCCTTCACAAGTTGTTTGCAATGGAATATGTTCACCATAAGCTTCCTCAAGCATTCGACAAGCATCAGCAGCAGTTTTCTTTAGATGAAAACAAAAAAGTAAAGCATGGCACAAATGATGCTTTTCTGGTACAAAATTCGACATTTTTAATGTAATAAAAAACAATGTTGTTGAATGAGACGCGTTCAATTGACAACTAATTTTTGTAGAGGAATGTTACAGCTGTAAAAAAAAAATATTTTTATTGAGTATTTTTCAAAAAAACGCTATCTATGTGCCAAAATTCGGTTTTCAATTACTACACCTGTTAATAATAGTTTCTTATTGAGCAAAATATATATGCATTGTTTTAGCTGTGGTGACTGCTTTGTCATTTCGATGTTGTGAACAGTTAATGCAAGACGAAGCATTAAGTGTAATTTACAGGGTAGTAAATTATAGTAATAGGAGTCTTCCATGGATCTCAATCAAAGAAGTTGCTCTTGATATTTTATTAAATTTAGCTAAGGTAAAGTTTTTTTTTTTTCATTTTTCTAATTTAAAAAAAAATTATTTTTTCACTATAAAAAAAGAAAGTCTTGAAACTGCACAAATGTTAATAAATTTTAATGGTTTTGCAGAATTAATTTTTTGCCTAATTAAGTATAAATATAATTTAGATGTTATTTTTGCAACTATGATGGGTATGTTAAAAATGGTTTATACTAAATACTATATATAGTTAGTTAATAGCCTATATCAAGCTTTTATCATCCATTATTTTTTATCAACTCCATTAATGTAGTTAGCAATTTCAGAATTGTCACCATTATATATTGTAATGTAAATATTTTGAAGTAAATTAAGCATAGATGACCTTAGATGACATTAGATGAAATTAGTTCTTTCTATAAGAACTAAGATAAAAAAAAATTAAAATAGTAAAGATGCCCTTATAATTTCTTCAAAAGCAGTTATGTTTTTAAATATTTTTTTAAAAGGTTTTAAAATTAAATTCTTGAACTGATAAACTTTGAGATTCAACTTAATTACAGATTACTTTGATTATGACATATTTTTTTAGACTTGATTTTTTTTTTAATGTTATTAAAAAGTATAGTCAATTCAATAACTGATATTTTAAAATAAACTTTTATATACTATTATAAAAAAAAAATACAAAAACTCTAAAAATTCAAATGCTGTCAAAGCATACCATCACACTAATTGTGTTTAAGTCAGAGATATTATATTTTATAGTTTATACTTTTAGTGTCCAACCACATACAAAGCTGTTTACAACCATCCTTCATCTACAACTATAATATTAGATCAAATGTCTAATTATCGCGATAAGAAGTGTTTTATTTTTTCAAAAGCCTGCAATCTTCTAACAATTCTTTGCCATGATGATGATATAAAATTGGTAGGTATTTAGGGGAAAATCTCATTTGTGTGAATGCTTCGTTTATTTTATTATTTTAAGTACAAAGATATAAAAAAAATACTTTATATTTTTTTGATAAACTTTGATCTTTTCTTAATTTTCTAGATTTTACATTAATATAATGATAATATCATGTTATTATATAATAATGTTACACTGTGTATGACATAGTATAATTAGGTGTGTGTGTGTGTGTGTGTGTATATATATATATATATATATATATATATATATATATATATATATATATATATATATATATATATATATATATATATATATATATATATATATATATATATACAGCGCTAACCATTTACTTTTTTAAGTACTTTTTTAAATGTTTATTTTTACTTTAACTTAATATACATTTTTTAAAGTATTTTACTTAGTTATATTTTTAAATTATATATGTTACTGAGTAAAAAAATTACTTGCCTATTATACTATTTATATATATATAGTATTTAGTTACACAATTTTTTTGGCTGATAAAGACTAGCCTGTTTTATAGAAATGTTTCCTTATAATTTTCCTTAATGTTTTAAGTGAAATTATAAAGACATTAAAAGCGTGCCTTTTCTATGTTTTGAGTTTTAATCTTTCTTTTAAGAAATTTAAAAAAAGATTTACTATGTCAATGTGTTTCAGGGGTTGTCCATAATTTACATCGCGCTTTAGGAAAGGGGGAGGGGTTAGTGGTTTTGTGACCACTCATACGTGACTTATTATTAAAGTGTTATAATATTGTGATAAGAGAAAAGGGAACAGAGGTCAAAAATTGTGTGACTTGGTTATGGATGACTCCTTATACAAAGTACTATGAAAAAACATGAAAAATAAGATATTGTTTTCAATTAGTTATATATCCTAATTACACAGCAAATTGGCTTTAAAGATGTTCTTTAAGATGCTATATGTATTTAAAATAATTTTTTTAAATACAAGAAGCATTTGTTGTAAATATTCATAACGCTCATCAGGTGCCGATGCAGGATTTTTTGATGTTTGACATACCTAACTTCCCAACATGGAGCAAACTCCAAAAATCTATGTTTACACATATATCAAATGAAGACGCTTTTTTATTATTTTGATGATTGGAGCCTGGGAATAAAAAAGTCCTAAAGTTTTAGCTACACCTGCCCCAAACGTGAGAGCAACAAGTTGATAGAATATTTTTTTTTTACTATTCTCAACCAAGTTTATAATCATCAGTATAACTCATACAATAATCTCTTAGCATTCAACGAATATGGCCTTATCAAATTTGTAACCTTCTCAAATTGAGGGGGGTTCAAACTTTTAATGGTCATAGTTTTTGAACCCTTAAAATTTATTGTGTGAATTTTAAAATTTAACGATGAATATAAACTTGGTTGAGATTAGTAAAAAAAATATTTTATCCACTTGTTGTTCTCACGTTTGGGGCAGGTGTAGCTAAAATTTTAGGGCTTTTATGTTCCCAGGATCTAATCATTGCAATGATTAGATCCTGGGAATATGGAGCAAACTCCAATTTTTGGAGTTTGCTCCATATCTGGAAGTTAGGTATCTCAAACATCAAAAAATGCTGCATTTGCAACTGCTCATGTATTAACAAAGTATAATAATAAATTTCTTAATTCCATCTTTCTTCTGCAAGAACAAAGAAAAAAACATGTTTTAACTAATAAAAAGAGTATTAAATAATGACATATTTTAATATCGTATTTTTTGTATTGATAATCGCACAGTTAAAAATATTTCTTATGTATATTAATTGTAAAGATATATAAAGAAAAGAATAGACCACATTGTTTATGTTTTGTTATTTGACTGGTTTGTTGCTTGTAAACAGCTGATAAAAAAGTAACACAGTTATGTTTAATCTGATTACATTTTTAATGAGCTACTTTTTAAATAAACCTTTAGTCAATCTAGCAGTTTGATAGTTGATGTATGCACAAAGCCCTCGCAACTTCCTGTTTTTTTATGAAATCATCTGTGTCTCTAGACCCTTGATTATTTAATGGGTCCCTAATAATTAAAAAAAAAACAATTATTAATAAAAATAAAAACATTCAGAATGTTTTTATTTTTGTAGCTCTTGAAAATCTCGATCTAAGTGCATGATCAAACATTTACTACACTAGGTAGATGTTACTTTTGGTAAGAAAAACTAAAATAAACTGGAAAAATGTATCCAGACAGTTACTTTCTGCTACTTTTCAGTCAAGACCTTCAATAAAGTTTATGATATAAGATCTTATATGTATCCTAATAGCTTAGGATAATATAAGTAAAAGTCATAAAAGTTATTTCTAATTCTGTAACATTTAGAATCCATTGACAACTGTTACCATGGTGAAAAGTAGAAAATTGGCAGAAGTTGCTAGGAAAAACATTAAAGTGCTCTCAAAAGAAGGCAAAACGGTTCGAGGAATAGCACAACAGCTTGGTATGCCCAAATCAATTGTTCAAGATACTCTGGGGGAGAATTAAAAAGCACAGATTATACAAAAGTTTGGCGAGATCTGGATAAAAATGTAAAACAACTCCAAAAATTGATCAAGAAATCTTTACTTAGGTTATTGAAAGTTCTGTGAAACCAAATGCAACAGATATTTCAAAACAACTTTGAGAACTCGACTTAGTCAATATAAGTCCTAGAACTGTTAGAAACAGGCTGCATGAGTATGATTCACATGGTAGAGCACTTGCCAAAAAAACCATTACTTTCTAAAAGACATTTTGCAAAGAGGCTTGTATTTGCTTGGAAGTTTCAAAACTGGACCGTTGATGATTGGAAGAAGGTATCATGGTTGGACAAAACAAAAGTATGCTTGAATGGTTCAGATGGTAGACAATAAAACATGACAATTATGTCATGGCCTGGGAATGTTTCAGTTGAAATGGTGTGGGCTTATTCATTTTATAGATATATATTGACTTCCTGTAAGTATGTTAGAATACTTTCAAACCATATGCTATCATCTGCTCAAGAATTATTTGATAAAGAATTTATATTCCAGTAAGATGGAGATTCAAAATATATGGCAAAAAATACCAAACCCTGGCTCCAAGGCAAAAATGTTGAGGTGTCACATTATCCAGCACAAAGTTCAAACTTGAATCCTATAGAAAACCTATGGAAAGAAAATTTACTTTTAAAAAAAATTTATTTAAAAAAAAAATCAAGAAAGAAATTGGTAAGTTTATATTGACAAAAAAAGACAGTATTGAGAAACTCAAAAATGATAGATATAACGAGGTGTAACAGATTGGTTGAGTTGATGCCTAAGAGGAAGTATTGACTAATAAAGGAGGATGGACTAAATATTGAAGAAATAAATGATGAAAAAGAAAGAAAAAATTTGTCTGGATACTTTTCTCCGCAGTCATTTTAGTTTTTCTTACCAAAAGAGACATCAACCTAGTGTAATAAATGTTTCATCGTACATTTCAAGCTTTTTGAGAGCTACAAAATATATATAGCAGTATGAGGTTTTGTTTATTTAATTTAGAATTATTTCTAAAAGTAGTTTGTCTGGATGCGTTTTTCCGTAACTGTACATTGGCTTACAAATAGGTAAAACATGCAATAAGTGCTGCTACATTAAGACATTATGGAATTGGCAGTATTATAAATGGCTGTTTTTGATCTTATCTTTCAGATCAAAAATAGTTTGTAAGTATTAATGGTTTTAATTCTAGTAAAATATCTGTTTTGTGAGGTGTTTCTCAAGGATCTGTTTTTGGTCTTCTTTTGTTTTCAATTTATGTTAACTAACTCTTTGTAAAAATTTAAATATAAGAGGGTAACTGGTTGAATGCTAACATAATGTCTTAACATCAAAAAAATTGACCTAATTTTTTTTTCATTTCAGAGAAAAAACTATTTCTACAAAAAGGTTGAAATTAAAATCAAAATAAATAATAAACATCCTTTGAGTTTAACTTTACTCTTTTATGGAACTTTCACATTGAGTTATGCAAAAAAACTTGAGCTAACGGTATGCTTTCAATAGTTCATCATTATGTCAATAAAGATAAAAGAAATTGCTGTTGTTATTGTTTTTACATTTGCATCACATAAAAGAGAATTCCATGAACCATGGCTACAAGTTTTGAATATTAAATAGAGAGTTTCATTAGCTATGCCAAAGTTCTATTATTGGGTGTTAGATGATTTAAAAAGCTGCTACTTGTTAACTGCTGCTGTTTGTAAGCTGCTACCTGCTACTTTGCTCCCTAACCTATTTTAACATTCTCTTCTTTAATTCTACTGTTTTTTTTTTTTTGTTTTTTACTTCATTTTTGAAGTAAAAAACATTTTACTTCCATTTTTTACTTCCATTTAACAAGCATTTCCAAGTCAATACTCAATGTCAAATTTGTCTTTAATTAAATTATTTTTGTTTTTTATAGTTTTTGTTTTTCCTACACTATTTTTGATTTTGTTTCTAGTAAAGTTGACCAGTCTTTTTTTTATCTGCCTATATTGTTGTTATTAGCGGCTATGCTGGCACTAAATCTTAAAATTTTTCATTTTTTCAATCTTCTATTCAGATTTGCGACTTGATTTGTGACATAAGCAAAAGGTAATATTTTGAACTATATCTCTATGTGTCTGACCCTAGCTTATGCTCAGTTTCTTGTCATTCTTCTTTAGGTGGTGCAGGCAGTGCTATTATTTCACTAAAAAATTTATCTCATACTTTTTACAACTACCATATATATGAGCAATGACTATCTTTTTATATGCGTGGTTGATCCAAAGGAGTAATCTAATTCAATCTGTTCCTCATTTTTCACTTTAATTTATCAGCTTGTGGTCCAGACTTTTGTCAAATTTTTCACTTTAATTTAACAGCTTGTGGTCCAGACTTCTGTCAAATTTTTGCAAAAGTGTTCTCCAGAACTTAACTATTAAATTATTAACTTATTAAAATAATAACATTAATAACTGGTCATCAATCTAAAATCTTCACTTTTTCGGAAGCCATTGAAATAAACAATGTTTTGCAAAGGTATTTGAGTTAGAGAATATAGATATATTCATAATCACTAACAACAATTATGGGCTTTATCAATTAATGTGCAACAGTAGTTTAAATATTGTGTTTTTAAAATATTTATTTATTAAAAAAAAGAAAAAAAGAAACCAAAACCTATTTTTGCGCTAACACTTTCTTTTTTACTCTTTATGATTAGATTATTGTATAGATGCATATTGTGTAGTATTCAAATGGATAGTTAAATGGCTATAAATGCACATTGTGTAGTATTCAATTAAATAGCAAAGTAGTTATAAATTTACATTGAGTAAGATTTAAGTGGAAAGCCAAACGATTATAAATACACATTGTATAGTATTCAAGTGGAAAGCCAAATGGTTATAAATGTCACCTCAAATGTTTAATTGTAATTGTATGATGTTAAAACTTTTATAAAGCCGACTAAGAAAAGTCTAATTTTTAATATGTTGCATAAAACGGTTTCTTGCCATGTAAATGAATTCGGATTTTTAGTTTTATATACCGATTATGTAGCTGCAACTAGGTACTTGCAACTATGCTATTGCAACTAGGTTGTTGTTAGTAGTATTGCAAACAGTTTGCAACTTAAATAAGTAGATAATATTAAATAAGTAGATAATATGAGACACTTGATTTAAACATGATGTATTAGTGGTGTGTTGTTACTAAGCACACCAGCTGTTAACAACACACCACTAATACATCAGTATTAGTGGTGTGCTGTTGTTTGATGTGATCATTTCCATCACGTTATACACCACGCTGTTATACATTACACCATTGTTGGATGTAATCATTTTCATCACGTTATACACCACGCTGTTATACATTACACCATTGTTGGCATGATATATTAGATGTATCAATCTATTGTTGTTATTTTTTTTCGCACCCTGTTTTTTTGTTCAAAAAAACAGGGTGCGAAAAAAACAACAATTTTTTTTTTTTTTTTTTTTTTCGATATTAAATCTATAAATTTTTTATTTATTTTATAAACTAAAAAAGAAATTATAGTTAAGCAATAAATGTAAAAAAACAAACCAAATAAATAGACAATATTTACTTATAGTTTTTATATAAATAAATATTTGTGTTATTTGTATTTGTGTGTATTGACACCAAACAATATTTTATCGTGTTTGCATTATCAGAATTATATGGGACTACACAATTTCTCCATTATCTACTGAATTATCACAAAAGTGTTTGGAATTTAATAAAATTTTAATTTCAAAATAGATATTTCATGGTTATATTGTATATCAATATAAATTTTGATCTGCAATATATTCATTAACATTTTATGCAAAAAAATAAATCCTTTTTTTAAAGTTTTTTTTTTTTATGAGTTTTTTTTCAATAATGTGAGTTATCGTTGAGCTTAAATTAAGCCGCTTTACTAAAGTATTTAATATGTTAATATTATATAAAAACATTAAATACGACAACTGTTTGTGCAAAGTTATTTACAAATTTCTATTTTAATAAAAGCTTTATAAATTTAAATACTTTTTCCAAATCTAATTTTCTTTCCATTTAGGATATTAAAAACACCAAAAAAAATTCAGAAAAAGTACTGTCTTTTTACCGTTTGTTAAACCGCAAGAAACAATTAGACGCTCACCGTCAAGTTCAAAAAGAGAAAAAGAAAGATCTCTTTAACGGAAACGCCAAGTGGCATCGAAGAACAAGTGCGATTAATACCGAAGATCCTTTTACCGCTGTCCATTTATTGATTAATACTCTTGAAATTGCAGCTAACGTTTAAGTTAATGGACAGTCAGTGATTTAAGCGGGCGGTTTACAAAGTACTTGTTTCATCGTCTATCGATTTTTCTCTTTTTCACTGGTATACAACTAACGGAAAATAACTTGCAGCTGTGAAATCAGGATGATAAAAGCTACTCACAATGTTTTTTGAGCTTTATGCATTGAGTGAAAGACAGAAATGACGCACGGTACCTAATCTACACTGATTTTTCGATTTTAGTTGTTTTTTAATAATTTTAATTTATATTTTATTTACAATAATATTATTATTTATTTATGATTTTATAAATAAAATAATAATATTGTATGGAGTTATCTTTTAGATGAAAAATCTCCATTTTTTGAATAGTTTCTTGTTTTAATAAGGCTTTGATCAGCTGACATCGTTTTTGCCACGTGATTTTTATCTTTATTTAATAAAAACAATGTTTATGAGCAAATGTATTGTACTTTAATTTTTCTTGAGCTGCATTGCGATAGTGATGTTTTATCAAGTATACACGAAGTTTTTTTATCACACAATAGTTTAACGAAACATTGCAATTCATTACTGCATGCTGGTGGTATGTCTGGCTCTGCACGTATTACCAGTATTTTCCCGCTGCTGCATGTTAATTCCAATCCAGCATATCCAACTCGTTCAATAACTGATTCTAAAATAGTTATATTACGCGGATATATATATATATACATACATACATACATACATACATACATACATACATACATACATACATACATACCTACATACATACATACATACATACATACATACATACATACATACATACATACATACATACATACATACATACATGTGTTTTAGGTGAGTTTCCACTTATCCGTTTTTCTATAGGAACGGGAAAGTAAAGGGGAAAATAATCGCGTGAGCATGCGTAGTTTAAGTTTTAATTTGCCCGAAGAAAACTACGCATGCTCACGTGATTATTTTTTCCTTTTCTATCCCGTTCCGTAAAAGAACGGGTAAGTGGAAATTAACCTATACGGTTTAAACGATACAATAAATTCTGCTTACTTAATTTCAAATATATTTTTAAGGAAAATAATTTTCCCAAAAGTTTTTTTGTTTTAGTCGTAGTAGATCTAAATGCATAGATATTGCCTATTTAAACCCTTAGTTAATGTGTATGCCCTCATTTTTAGTATGACGTCAGCAGTAAAAGTTCATGTCACGTCAAAAAAATATATCGACTTCAAATATTTAAAAAAGCGAAATTAATCCTATTTCTTAAAAAAATATTATTTAAAACAATAGAAAATATTAAAACGATGACAGTATTTTTATATCATAAAATACATAGCCGATAAAATTTTAAAATAAAATATTCAATATAAATTATTTATTAAATTTCAAAGCTAGCTGCGATACTTGATATCAACATTGGAATGTACATTAATCGAAGAGCAAAGTCAATATGTCAGAAGTTATAAATAGAAAAGTGTGGAGAATTAGTGATGCAACGTCAAGGACATGCGTTACTACACCAGACTTGTTTATTTATTGGTTCCATGAACATATTATGCTTCTAGCTTTACTTTGACTTATGTTGTTTTTGGCCTTGGACTAAATTAATTTTTTATAACTTTTTTTTTGCTTTATATTTATTAATAATTTTATCTAACTTTTATTACTCATTTTCCCATGTTCTTTCTTTTTTTTATTTAGTAAGAAAGGAAGAATTATGTTAAGAAAAAAGAACCTGATAATGCCAATAACATAAACTGAACTATTACTTGTGGACATAACATAAATGTTTAAATTATATAATTGCCATCGTAAGATTCAAGTTTCAATATTTTATTAACACAGTAAAATTTATTAAAAAGTTTTTTTAACGTTGTTGTCATTACTTTTTTTAAAACACCTAAATAAGGCGCAACCGCGACAACATTTTAATAATTTATGACAATGCTTATGTACATTAAAACCGTTTAAAACCTGTTCAAACATTTTAAAAAGTTTGATGACGCACAATAAACTTACTAGCTCTTCAAAGTTTGGTATTCTTTATTTTAATTTGAAATAAAAATGTATTCTAGAGCTTTTAGCATAAAAGAAATTTTATCTTTTTATTAAACCTGGAAATTTTATCTTTTTATTAATTTTTATTAAATTTCACGTGCTTTATTTTAACAAAAATAAGCAACTTAAATTAGAGAAGTGAATAGTTTTGATCTGTAGATTTAAGATTTTTAGCTATAGAAATAAAATAAAGAAAGAAAAAAATAAAGAAATATATCCATAATTTAATTAGCCTATACTTTTTTATCACAATAGAAGTTCTATAGTTTATAAAACAATTGGTTTTATACAAGCAGATAAAAAGAAATAATAATAATTGAGGTTGTAACAATCCTGCTTAAGAATAATCCTATAAAAAGTCAAACAAACTAAAAATATACTTTAATTTACTTTTTAAGTTGCTTTTTTTTTAATATATATTAGATATCATAAAGAACAGTAGTCTTAAAAAGAAACTAAAGTACGTAATTCGAGAACTTCCTGTTGTTATTATCCTACATTAAAAACAAAACATGCTAGGCAGTACAAAGTTGGACACACAACTTTTTTGTTGAAGGATTAGCTCGGGATTTCCTAAAGATCAAAAATTCTCAGGTCTTTGTAAAAATAAAATTTTAGATATAGAATTGTGTTATTCTCAAGCCGTCTAGATGACATAAATTTAAGTACTTTAGAATTTGATAACGGAGCAATCCCGTTACTAAAAAAACTTACTTGAGTCATTTCAATACTTGTATACTCTTCCATAGACAATATTTTAAAAATCTATTTAGTTTTTTACTTTGAGTCTTATTGAGAATGTATAAAATACAGTCTAATTTTAGAAATATTAACAACCTATTTATGTTTGCAATTAGAAATGTGACTCAACAAAATGATATTGTCTCACACAAAGCGGTCAAAAATGAAAATATTACTCATCAAAAATTTATTGTGTTTTTGCGGTCATAAGTAAAAATATGTATTATCAAAAATGAATTTTTGCGGTTGTTAACTCTCTGAGTTTGCGACCACTATTAGACAAGAGAAAAAAACTGTTTTGTGGTTGTCTAAAGAAACAGATTTTTGCCTGTTATCTTTTTGCGGTTGTACAAAATTTTATAGTTCCTCGTTGAACTAAAAACTAAAGCTTTGTTTTTTTCCAATTAAGTTTTCTTCTTTTTCTTATTTTTAATCAAACTTAATCATATATATAATAAATTTATTTTTCAGATTTCACTAAAAGATCATTTTTACTTTATTAAGTAATATATATATATATATATATATATATATATATATATATATATATATATATATATATATATATATATATACTGAATAAATATTTAGTCGCAAAAAGGAATTTTTACCTGAATTTTTCTTGCAATAATATTCCACTTTTAAATCCGGACGATCTTTGCACGCTGTAGGTAAGTAATAGCTATCAGCATATAACGGGCAGTTTGGTTTTCCTTCACAACTCTGAGTTACAGCGCACAATGCTAAAGGGGAAACACAATCTTTACCAGCAAATGAAACTTTATTAATTCTTAAATGATAGGAATTGCTTTTACAAGCAATGTTTTTATCTTCTCCGTGCTTTACTTCTATTTCTTTTATAGAATGCTCTAAAAGATATACGTAGAAGTTACATTATTAAGTGTTAAAAAAATGGTGTGTTAAAACTGAAAATAAAAATAATAAAATAACAAAAAAGAACAATAGGTTTTAAAAATCAAAATAAATAAAATAAAAAGAACAAGTTAAAGTTTAATTAGTTAATTGGTTTAAAAATGATCTCATACCTTCGCTCGTTAAGCATACGTATTTTATAACAGTTGGACCAACGTTTTCAACATCGCAACTGGCAGGTTGCTTTTTATTTTCTGCAAGATCTTTTAGTTGGAACTTGCACGATGATTCATTATTGCATAAAGTTTGCATTGTTTCAAAAGAAACCGCACGATTACAACCAACTTTTTTGACATGGTTTACTCTTTTAATAGAAATTAACTTTGCATGCTTACATTGAAGAGTGATTTTTTCGTCATCGGTGACTGTTGTTCTTTTGTTCGATGATACTATTAGAATGAAATTTGAAAGTCAGCGTTATGCTTTAGGGTGATTGAAGTAATAAAAAAAATATAATTGAATAAAGAAAGATAGAAGAGTAAAACTGTAGATATAAGTTTAGCATTTTTCATAAATGTTATAGATCAGCAACAAGTCATGAATTTAGCTTGATTAAATAACCTGAGGGTTTTCAGGTTTCCTAGAATAATTTAATAACATTTAGTTAAAATAACTGATATAGTATTTTGTGTGATTTATATGTTTATTATTTAAAATGGAAATAAATTAGTTGGTAACAAAACTACTTAGAGTTTCTTGCATTTTTACAAAATACCACTACTTAAGACATTTTTGAAAAAAAAAATTCAAAAAGAAATACCAGAGGGAGCTTTTTACTTCTTAAGGCTTTGTATTTTCATAAACTAAAACTTAGCAAAATGTTAAAGGAAAAATGATTTCAAATTTGCTAGAATGTTTGAGACATTAATTTGAGTATTTTTTTTTAAATTTACTAACCTTTGTGCAAAGTTTTTGTTTTCAAGTTAGGTTGCCCTATGCATATAACTCCCTCTTCTGCCTTCGGAAACTTACGACAATCAAGTTGTTCGGGCCAAGGTAAATCTACTCGTTTTAGTATACCTTCGCAGCCAAACTTTGCTTCTTCGCATAAAGATCGACATGGTAAGATTGGTTCGTCCAACATAGTACACATAGGTATAAAAATTGAACACAAAAACAACGGTAAGTTTTTAGCGCAACCTGTTTCAATTAACTTTGTGTAATGGTCCAACCCGGATATTGCATCTTCTTGAGAAATATGAGATAAATTGTTAGGAAATCTTGTTTGATTGTATAACTTACGACATTGTGGAGCGTAATTGCTCTCACAGGTTTGCGAATTTATTCCATACAAAACATTTATATACACAAAAATCAGTGTAAAAAAGTTTAAAACATTCATCATCTTTGAACGCAACATTTTGATAGTAATGATCTTATTAACTTCGTGTGACTCTACCTAAATGAATAATGCAGCGTTTATTCGAATTTATTCATGAATGCCGTTGTTACTAACAGTTTCCATTGACATCGAGGCTACGAGTTTATGTGTTTACGATTTGAAAAAAAGTAAATATCTTTATTTGCGCAATTTTTGCAAATCATGATTAAGACACTTAAAACAATAAACAACTGGCGTCTCCAAACGTTATAAGTCCCTCCTTTAATTGCTCATTTCTCGCTTAATCAAATCCTAATTTATTTATTTGTTCGTATTCTCAATACATTTAACCTTAGAATCAATAATTTTTCATTAAATTTTAAAATGTATTTTACTAAACATTTCTATTCAACAAGAAAACAATATTTGATAAAGAACCTCTTAAAAGTTTTATTTCTTACTTAAAAGTAAATGTTCAAATTATAGGACAAAAGTGCAAATTTTAATCTTTATGTTACATAAAATCATTTTAAAAATTTTTAAACTAAAATAATTATTAAAAAAATATTCTTGCTGAAGGACATTATTTGCAAATTTAACAAACAATATAATGTTCTTGAAAGGAAATAAATTCCCCAAAATGAAATTAAGTTTTACAAAAATAAAATTTGTCAAATTTTGCAAAAGATAAGCATTCTAGAGACGATTATAGACCATTGTTTCTATTGTTGCTTAGAAATCCTTTGTTTATTCACGAAGTCTATCTCAATGATAAGCGGTTTTTAATGAACAGACGAAATGGTCTTATGACCATGAACCGCTGAACATAGTCACTCAAATTTATTCATATTAGTAAAAGAAAAGGAAAGAAAACGAATAAAAACTTGTTTTATCTTAAAAATAATAAAATAGAAACCATAAATAAATCTATCAAAGTCAATTACAAAATTTTATACTTTAATTTTTCAAACTTTTTTTTTGATGTTGCTCTTTTTCGATTTTTTTTCAAGTCAGTTTTTAATATTAATAATATTAGATTCAATAATAAAAACTTAATCCAAAAATGAGGTAATTTTTAAATTGCTCAATCTTACTTTTATATGAACCTTTTTCATTAAAATTTTACATGAAACTTTTATATGAAACTTACAAATAAAACTTTTACAACTTTTCAGCAATTAATATTTATATTCTGAGTTTTTTTTTGTGAAATCAATGGCAAATCAAGGACATTATATAAGATCTTGTGCAAAATATATATTTAGCTACAAAAATTTTTTTTTTCAAAAAAAGGTTTTGCATGCTCTTTGTAATTTTCAAAACTCACTCGTTTAGCATGCTTCTATTTACGATAAAAAAGTTTCTGTTTGTTTTTATTTTATTAAAAAACTTTCAAAATAAGCACCAAGTGTATTCTCCTGCATTCACAAAATAGAGAAAATCTTATAACTGCTCTTTTTTGCGCCTTTATTACTTTCATATAAACCTAAACATTGTAAATGAGGTTTATAGGGAAAAATGAGCTAAGGTTGCATGACCAAAAACGGGGGTTGTGTAACAAAAAATGGCTTATAAGAAGCAAAGGATCTAAACATATTGCAAATAAACTTAGACACTGCCGTCAATAGTTAACTTAATCAACCATTGATAATGAATGTAACCAAACATTAGACGCCCCTCATTAGTTAACTTAATCACTCGTTGCTCATGAACGTAACCAACCATTACAGATAAACTTTAAGCAAAAAATTTAAAAGTTTTAAGATAGTTAAGTAGGTTTAGAAAAAATTGGTTATTGACAAAAATAAAAGGTAAATAAACAATAATAATAACTAAAAACACATAAAACTTTAATTATTTTTCTGTTTTTTATATAACAGTTTTATTTATTTAACGGTTTCTTAAAATTTTTTGCGTTTTTGTTTTGGAAAAATTTAAATGATTTACTCTTTACATTTTATTATTTTATTTTATTTTCCTTTTGTTTGCCTGCCATCTTGTAATCATATTTTATCTTAACTTTTTTTTCCTATAAAGCTTGGTATTATTTTATTTTTAAAAGCCTGAAAAATGTCCAAAAAAAGTTGGATTATCGTATTGACTTGAAGATAAATCATTTCAGACATATTAAAATGCAGAATAAACTTTGTAATCCGAATTATCAAACAACTCTACATTTATTTAAACATTTATTTAGAGTCTTTTAACTGTTATTTTATTTTAAAAATTGTAAAATTACATATTTATAAGAGATATATTTTTTATTTGTATGCGTAGAGCTTAAAAATATGTGAACTAAACATCCAATCTGTTGTAACTAATAACAGTTCTTTCAATAAAGTTATCTTAGAGAGTGCGTAACAACACAGCAAACAACCACGACTTATAAAACTAGTCCTAACACACTAACAACATACAACTTTTAAAAAAGCACTCCAACAAATAGGATATCATTTTTGGTAAACTAAATTTTTGCTAAAACAATTTAATAACTCCAGTTACTTGACATATTACGTAAACTAGTTTTTGTAGAAGTATTGCTTATATCTCCTTAAATAAACAAGACCAGTCAATAAATATTTTTTCAACCCAGGTATTGGCTGATTATCTGAAAAGAGTCACCAAATAAATGCGTCATCAAGTTTTTAATATGGATTGTTAAAACAACGTGTTGTGTCTGATGAGTGAAAGCTTAAACTATTTCAAAATCAAACTAATGCTTTGTTTGCTTTCATGCAATATTTCAATACTATTTATTAAATCCTGGTCTAAAATTAGGATTTTATGCATAGATTTTTTACTAACATACATTTTATACTAAGGTTCCCCCCAAAAAATACTGAATTTAAATGCTTTAAGTTTCAAATAATTCCTCTTAAATAGTTTTGAACGTGCAATGATTTTTTCAAAACTTTAAGTGAATAATTGTCTGTTTTATACAACCCATAAGATGTGCATAAAAGTTTACGAGATACAATTTAAGATTAAAAACAGTTCTTTGAAAGCTATAATTTAGAATTAGAAATAGTTTTTAAAGTACATAACTCAAAATTAAAGTTTTTTTCAGTTTAAGCCTACGCAAAGAAGAAACAAGTGACTTTTAAAGAAACAGGTGACTTTTAAAATGGACAACTTATATTACATTTTAACTTACATTATTCTAGACAACTTATGCAGAGCTAAAGTCAATAAATAATTTTAATTACTTTATCAACACTTTATAAGAGGTAGTGTGATATATTTAAGCTGTTTGACCAAATTCAGCGTAAAAATCAAATGTGAGTACGAGATATTGTTTTCTCTAATCAAAGTATATGTGTGTTTCTTATTTATTTTATATACTTACTTGTTTTATTTATTATTTTAATATTTATATTCCCAACTTTTTTTTCTAAAAAAATTTATCATTAAAGTTATTTTTGTCGTCATCAATATCATGTTCATTCACTGCATTTTTTTACTTCTTCTATCATTTGTTCATCTGTTAGTAAAGGTACTGTGCTCATTAAGTTTTGATCTACAGAAACGACATCTTCAGCTGTTGTACCTGGAGGGTAAAAATCAGGGAATCAGGTTTTTTTAATCTGATTTTAAAGCTCTTTAAATGGGTCGCCATCTTTATCCAAATGGGCAGGTTTTTGCTGATCTTTCTAAATTCCTGATTTTGCAAAACTAACAATAGTAGAGGTTTTTACTTTTTGCCATACAAGATCAAGCATTTTTATTTTCATTTTCATTTAAAATTAATAATATCGAAAGATTTTATCATTTATCGATAGCTACGACCAGTCTCTGTAATGCTAAAATCTGTAATAAACTTTCAAAAGTGTGTAACGTCCTGATCCATTGGTTGAAATTTCGGCGTGGTATTCGGTGGTAAAAAAATGAGCTCTATAGATTTTAGATTATCAATTGTCTGGTGTGCTTGGCCAGTAATTTATAATAAACGCTACTTTCTTTTTTTCTTTTGTAAACTTTGTATCAATTTCTCGCACTAACTTTGATTTTATTTACCTATTTCAAACATAGGAATTTTATCACCCGCTGCATTTGCTGTGGCCAGTCTAGTAAGACGAATTTTACTGTGCTTTCCCCATATACGAGCCTCAGATCGAAGATTTAGTGACTTTAGGTTGCATACAAAAAATAATCCAAATTCATCTGCATTATTTATTTCATCAAGTTTGTACCTGAATAAAATTGTAGGGAGATTTTTTCCTTCCATGATGTGATCATATCAGTTGTACAAGAGTTACCCTTTCTCATACCATCTTGAAAGAAACATGTTTTTCCATCAGACGCTTGAAATCCTTTGATATTATTATTTTTAGCAATTCTCGCATTTTCTTTCAGGACTGATGCTGATACTGCTGCGTTTCTACTCCTTACATTTAAAAGCTATTTAAAAACGAGATTATCTAAATTTGAAAATGATCTTTCTTTAATTCTCATACGTTTTGACTTTGTACCTTGTGTCTTCATAAATTCGACATTTTTTTCTTTATTTTTGATCTATATTGAAAGCATATAACTCATATATAAGCGTGTAAAAGTATAATTCGCCATTATGCTGATAAAACTACCAATAAGAATCTGTATTTTGCAATTTTTCAGTATCATCTCAACTACTGTTGTCAGGTTTGGGACAAATTGGCAACTGTAATATTAATAAAATGTTATCAGCTCAGCGTCAATCAATCCGAATATTAAATTTTCAACTCCATTTTACAGAAACTTCAAACTTCTTCAAAAAACTTAAAATTCCTACTTGTCAGCACTAGTTAGATTTGCGAATCTTCTTTTTGTTTTTGACTCCCTTAAATCTTCTTTTTGTTTTTGACTCCTTTAATAAAAATTTACCTTCGTCTATTACAAACTTTTTCACTGAAACTCGAATTATAAATTCACATTTAACTAGAAACATAAATAATGGAAAACTAAATGTACCTCCCTATAAAACTTTGAGGTATGGTAAGTATTCAAATACACATAAGTGCATCAGTGAATCAAATCGAAGTCTTGTGCGCATTGTGAATGAGTTTGTAAGATTAAAACTTCAAAATAATTTATCTTTATTTTTTTTAATCTAAAACATAATAAATTTAAACAAATTATAAAAAAAAATCATTTTAATTTTTAATCATTATTAACTTCTTTTAGTTTTCTTATTTTTCTT